GTAACAGTATCATCCGATAAAAGTATGATTTTGATGAATGCCTGTTGGGGGGATCCGACGATCTATGCGGATGGATACTTCAATTTTTGTGTACCGCTCTACATGTTATTGGAATTTTGCCAAGATTACAGACGCGTGGTGATTAACGCTCGTCACGAATTGATCTTGATACGATCGCGCAACGACAACAATTGTCTGTTTGGAAATTCAGAGCTGGAACCTGTGATCAACATATTCGAGATACAATGGCGAATGCCACACGTGCTGTTGAGCGAAATCAAAAAGCTGTCGATGCTGCATGCTCTGGAAAGCGGACGATATCTCAGCATGGTTTTTCGCTCGTGGGATCTGTACGAGTATCCACTATTGCAGCTTACAAGCATTCGTGGGCCATTAGACCGCGACTCAGCTGGAGAAACCACGATACGTTGTCTTCGCTCTGCAAACAGGAAAGAAGAATGTCATGTCTGCGAATGCGACTCAATTCGACGACTGCAAATTGGTCAACGTTAAACTTTATCTGAATTCGGAATATTATCCGTACGATGATATGAATCTGGATTTTGATAAACACAGATGGTCCATTCTGTATGACACGTACACACGCTTCTGCAAGAACTATTACGGATACGAGTATCTCGAGCCGACTCTCACCGTCATGACGTTTCTATTTAACGGTCCGTTCGTGATTATCAATTGTTCTCGACAAAACAAATCAGTCAAGAGCGCAACCGTAGATGTGAGATTGGAATTCGAGTGTAAGGAGAACGTGCCGATGAGTACCACTGCGTACTGTCTCATCATACACGATCGCGTGATCCAGTACAATCCGTTGACCAACGTTGTACGCAAAATCACCTAAGCGATAACATCGACAAAAGAGAAAGAGAGAGAGAGAGAGGGGGGGGAAGAGGAGCACGATATAAATCAAAGTCTTGCGAGATGGTTTTAGACGTTGACCAACGTTGTACGCAAAATCACCTAAGCGATAACCTCGACAAAAGAGAAAGAGAGAGAGAGAGAGGGGGGGAAGAGGAGCACGATATAAATCAAAGTCTTGCGAGATGGTTTTAGAGTTTTGTCATTCCTCTCGACTGGCGTATCGAAGAGAGAGAGATCTCGTCATATTCGTACCAACGTTTGTGGATCTGCAAGGATTTACCATCGACAAACTATTCTTTGTGAAGGAAGCGACAGTCCTGAGAAAGAGATATGTTCTATCGCATTACTTTTTCGCAAGTCCTGTACCGTGGAGCGTTCTTACAAAATCTGATCAACGTCAAGTCTCATGGTTGACTAGAAATCATCACGGATTACAATGGGAAGACGGAAACGTTCCGTATGGTTTGGCTCAGGGTATAATTACAACAGCTGTCGTTGGGTACGATACATGAAGAAGAAGAAGAAAAATCGTCTCTCGTGTACGTCAAAGGACTTGAAAAGCGAAAATGGTTGACCGATATACTGGACGATGCGGGGAGCGGCTATATTATTAAAACTTTGGATACGGGTTACGAAGATATTGATGCTCTAAATAAATTAGATGATACTAATAATATGCGATGTGGAAAACATGTTAAGAATTGCGCATTGCAAAATGTATTTAAAATATTTAACTGGTGGTCGCAACGCCAGAAAGAATTGCAAGAAAATAAAACAAATATGTAAACAGTAATATGTGTTTTATCTCTTATTTCCCCTCCCTAGACCTTTCCTTGCGTTTCTAAAAATATTTTATCTGAGCGTTATCTCGCCCTTCTCCTAAAATTCAAAGCGTTATTTCACCCTTCTCCTAAAATTCAAAGCGTTAGAAGCATTGATCCCCCCCACTACATTATACTTTGGAAGATGAGCGTCACGTATATCCGGTTAATTCCTGTACAATCAGTCTCGCGTTAACCGCTCGTGGTTCACTTTTCATAACCTCCAAAGAAATGTACTCGAAAGAAGCAGTAGCGGCAGCGACGTCGGAAGACGCGTGAATAATAATTACGTGCCGAGTCGTAATAAAACTTCATCGTTTGAGAACAAATGTGACGAGTAAGTTTCGTTTAACTTTTTTCTATTTTTATAATTGTATTATTATTACTATTATTTAATTTTAATTTTTTTCTGTAGCATTTCGTTGGAGCGTCGTGCGATTCGTATACTAGGTAGACGATACGCATTGACAGCTACAGAATTCAAATTCCTCGAAATTGGTATCAATGTGGGTCCACCGAGTTACGTGGAGATTGCCATAGGAGATCATCGAGAAAAGGAACTGATATTATCTCTCGAAATGTGGAAGGGACTCTACGAGCAACGTCGCAATATTCAAAATTTATTTCGGAACGACTCTAAAGATGACTACAATTTCATAAGCTTGGACTACTAACAGTGAGAGTTCGTACGATTAACGACGTCAAACTCATAAGTTTCGAATCTTCAGATGTACGCATGATGATGGTCGAATCGACGTTACATCGTATGTTCGATCTCGATCAATGCATAGATGTAACTTTTGATCGATTAGATAAAAATTATCCAAACAGTTGATGTCAAATTTACGCAATTCTGCAATATCGCGTCCACTGTAACGGATCCGAGAGAAATATCATATGTAATACGCGCGAGTGATGTTTTCAACAAATATCAACTCGTCAATTGCGAGCTGGCAGCTTTAGCTTTTAATTCTTAATATGTAAAACAAAAAAATTATATTTGTATACTAAATATATAAACAGAATAAATAGTTATAAGTCTATATCATGGTGTACTTTCTTTGCGTTTGGCGCGCTCTCCCGTCCTAGCTTTTATGCATAGCTCCTTGCGAGAGAATTATCATGAGAGAGCAAACATTAGGAAAGAAAGAGACAGAAGGAGTGATACGGCGTACGCGAGAGAAGAGATATCACGCAATGAAAATATTTTTGATAATTTAATATAATTTTTTAATATTATAGTTTTCTAATAGTTTTCTAATAGTTTTTTAATATTATAGTTTTAATATTATAGTTTTTATAGTTTAGTAAAAATAAATGGAGCAATGAAAAGAGAGGAATTTTGAAAATAAATAAGATTTTTTATATTAATTAATTTTTAATAAAAATAAAATGTATATTATACAAAGTGTGTAAAAGATAATGTAAGAAAAATTTAAAAAGAATTTAAAAAATATACAAAAATATAAATGAATAGGAGGGCGACGACAATGACGATATGGTGGTGTCGATGAGAGGTGATGGTGGGGTGGCGGGTGGAAGAGTGGTGACGGAGTGGAGTAATGGTCAGTGACTCCTTCTGCACATAAAAAAATTTATTAATTATTTTAATAATTTGAAAATAAATACCTACACATGAGATCTACCTCCAATTAATGGTCAGCATCCGTATCAGAATCAGAATCAAAATCAGAATCATAACCGATGGTATTCTAGATATAACAACAAATAGTTATGTTGGTGAATTCCTCGCATCCTTTCAGAACACGCTTCTCGATTCCCGCCTAGCAAACAGCAATCTCTGCAAATGGCTGCCTCTAGTTTATTCCTCTCTCTAAACTGTATATACGATTGTAGATCGGAGGTCGCGGTTGGAGAATTTCTTACGCCAAGTTCGCGATTTCTTAAATATTGTAACACAGACATGTTTATTAATTTTTTATTACGTTGCTCGCACACTTTAAACAGTCTTATTCACTTTATACAGTCTTATTCACTTTATACAGTTTTATTCACTTTATACAGTCTTAATGTTTTTTTACCGCGTACACTGTAGGCACATGTTGCACGGAAATGTTTATGGCGGTTCGATGTGTGTTCGCCTTAATCGCGTGTTCTTACTTAGACAGGAGAAGCGATGCCGCAGGAGTAATTAGGTGCGTTTCAGATTAAAGAAGACGGTGTAAAACAATCACATCCCAGGGAGAAACGCGAGATCGGAAAGACGTCTATTAGATGTCGGAGCCATCTAGTCTAAAACAACGTCTAGAAATATCTTAATTAGATGTCATGTGATTTTGTGTCATTGTGACACATTGTGTAAGAAAACGTTTTTTTACAATTAAAACCTAATTCATACAATAGCGGTGCATTGTTTATAAAATTTTATGCAATATTGCATATGATTTTGAAAAGACGTCGAATCGACATCGATACGACATCGATATCGATGCGCGCAGCGGCTATTTCGCTCTGCTGCTGCTAAGCGAGCTGATTGGCCGTATGTCTTTTGTTATTATCAATAGCGTCGCGCGTGTGTCGTCCCGCTGGCTCGAGCGGCCGACATCTTGGATCCAGCGTGTGTAATGTGACCGCGGTTGCCTGCATTCTCTTGTCGTGTTTCCAGATTTTTGTCGCGATCGACAGTGCGTTCCACCTTCTCTTGTTGTGCGTCGGATCCGTGTATGTAGGCTCGTGAAAATTATTTACACAAATCAGCCAAAGGAGGTCACCTTCGAGGGTCAATATATGGATGAAGATGAGAGGCTGGTAGTGCAATTGCACTTGAATTGTAAAGTTAAAATATATTTATTCAATATTAAATAAAAATTAACTCTTGTTAGAGTTAGTTTTTCGTGCTTTCTTTTTATTATGCTTGTATACAATGTTACAGACGTTTTTTCAGGGATATTTCCTTCGGCCATCATCGCATGGTAGCCAGAACAAAAAGAAAAAAAATGCGCCGAAACATCTGTAACATTGTATACAAGCATAATAAACAAAGCAGCTTTAAGCTGTAAGAAGCGTTGATTTTTTTTAATGTATAATATATGAGCCAGTTTGAATATTTTATTGTTTTAATATATTTATTCATTTGTATAAGATTGTGCTTTTAGATAATTCTAATAAATTCTCATTTCAGCGTGTAATGTGACCGGTCGCTTGCGTTCTCTTACATCAGCCTTTGCGATTACAGTAGTGTGGCATCGTGGTGCGTTCTTCTCTCGTTGTGCGTCAAGATCCTCAGTCTCGCGTGAAAATTATTTGCACTAAAATAAGCCAAAAGTGAGAGTCAAAATGGATGAAGATGAAAGACCGGTAAGAGTAGTTGTGAAGTTATTATAATATATTTATTTATTCAGCATTTTTAAATTTATTATTTATCTGGATATTTTTATTATTAATCTGAAATAACAAAGAAATATCATAATTATTACATCCCTGCATATTTAAATATTTATTATTAGAAATTTATTAATACGGTTAAAAAAATACATTTTATAAATTATTCTACTAAAATTTTAAAACTAAATGTATCTTCAAAAACAATATAGCTTTTATCTAAATTAGATTCAGGTTGAGTCAAATTACATGTATCTTTTTCAATTAAAATGTTTCAGCTATTCTCGATACCAATATTTATATTTTCTTTGATACCACTTTTTAAATTTTTTTCTATATCTATTTGAGTTTTTTTCGTTTACTAATGTTTCAGATTTGAACATTTTATAATTGTTTCAATTTAATACAACTATTTTATAATATAACATAAGATTTTTCTGTTTGCATGCATTTAAAATGAATACTATCACCACTTGGCATAAGGATTACTATATAATTTTCAGTGCAATAAGGTATTATTTGAATGGTGTTTTCTGTAAATGAAGAATTTTGAGACAAATTTTGAGAACAATTTTTTTCTTATCCTAATTATAAATATATTTATAAAAATAAAATTTTACGTATTAAAAATATTTTTTAATAATTTTTGTCTTTGTGAAATAAAAATTAGTATAAAAAGGTTAATATAAAAAGTAAAAACACTATAAATTAAATAAATATGGTTTTAAATTAAATTTATTTTAATTTTATATTTCTAAATTTATAATAACTTTTATAATTATATACTTGATAATCTATTTCGGTACTTCCAATAGTTGAACAAACCTTGACTTTTAATATGAACAAGAGAAGTCTCACCATTTGAAGCATCTGTAAATTTCAACTTTTCCTTACCCACTTGTTAATAAATTACTGTTATCTTCAATAATACATGAATTTGAATCAGTATTACATTCAACATTTTTATCTTCTATATTCTTATTTTTTACAATTTTATTATTAACTTTATTCAATAGCATCTGCTGCAAAAGGATATAAACCACATTTTTTAAATCCTTGCTTAACACTTTTTTAAATTTATTTTGTCAACTGCATCTTTTAATACACTTGCAAAATTGGTCTTTTTAAATTTTTCAGGTGCATGTGTTTTTCTCCAGTTATCGATTATATATTTATATAATTTTTTTTAAAGCTGAAAAACAGCAACATTTAATGGCTGCATTATAATATGATAAAATCTCTTTCTTACTGTATTGATAAAAGGAGTCTGCAGTCGTCCACAGTCTCGTCCAGTCAATTCAGCACTCCATCCTGCTGGTAAATTTTTGGCAATATGAGTCTGCGTTGGTACCAAAATAATATTAAAGGAGGTGTTATCTTTCCTGCAGCATTAACGTTGAATAAGATAGTCAGGCTTTCTGTTTCATCCCCACTAGCTGTTTTTTTTCTCTCCGTTATTTTCTTCTTCCCAGCGCACGCATATAACACTGTAACACTTTTTAACTTTTTTTTGTGTTTGAGTTCTAATAATAATTTCCTGATTTCTTAAATCTAAAAAGTAGAGAAAATCGTTAATATTCCGCATAAACTTTGCTTTTGCGACCAGGATATCGAAATATCAGCATAGTGGATCTTTTCTATCTAGTCAAAGTTTTTTTTTTAATATCTTGGCTTCTAATCAACATAGACTTTTTTTTAAATGTAGGGTACACATCCCTTTTTGTAACGCATTTTGATTTGTTGAGAAAGCGTTTTTTTTATTTTTTACTAAGGAATTTAGGCTCTCTATTTGAAAATACACATTGAATTTCAACAGGCTAAATAAGAGCCGAACGCGGATGGTAATGCGTTAATTTCGATGAAAATTAATTTTTCATTGAAATAAATTGTGCACAGGGCAACAATTTATTTCGATGAAAAATTAATTTTCATCGAAATTAACGCATTACCATCCGCGTTCGGTTTTTATTTAGCCCGTTGAAATTCAATGTGCATTTTTATTTTTTGTTTAAAATTGTATATCTTGGATTCTAATTATTTCTTTATAGAGTGTTTAATTAATCGAGGTGAGATAATTAATCAGTCACTAATATCTTATGCAGTTGCGGAAACATCTCATGCAGAGAGTGAAACATGCAGTTAAGGATCTTGCAAAAGTGGCATCGATTGAGAGATTGAGGAACAGAATTATTGTGCCCCATACGACAAATAGTAACTCTTCAGATGAAGAGTATATGGACGTACGTGTCAATGAAGGAAATGAAAATATTAATATTCCTCAAGCTTTGGGAAACATTGAAAATGAAAGGGAGCAAGAAGCAGATAATGAACAAGATGCGGCAGAAGTATTTGATTTATCAGATGATGAAGGTATATTCCAAGATGAAGTTGACCAGGAAGATGATGCTTCAGAAAGTAGTGATGATGAAGATATAAATGAAAATCATTTTGAAACTGAGGAACAGAAGGCTAACTATTGCAGAAAATTTGAGAGAGTGGGCTATTTATGAGGGAAATATTTCAAAAAAAAACTCGAATCTAATTTGTTACATAGATTAAATCCAGTCTTCCCAATTTTGCTAAAAAGTTATAAGACATTACTGCGTACACCCAAACATCTTGACGTCTCCGTACTTCCTGATGGATCAATGTTATGGTATAAAGGAATTGTAAGAAATTTAGATGCAATGTTGTTGGATGAATATTTGGAAAAATATGGCAACATAATTATTGATGTTAACATGGATGGGCTGCCTATAGCAAAAAGTGTACGTTTAAAATTTTGGCCACAGTTGGGTCATCTTATACACACAGACAACGATCCATTTCTGATTTGTTTGTATGTTGGTGAATGGGATCCGATTGATGTGCACTCTTATTTGCATGATTTTCTAACTGAAGTAGAATACCTTTTAGAACATGGATATATGTGCAATGGTGTCAGATACCCATTTATTTTAAGAAATTTTGTCTTGGATGCTCCTGCACGTTCTCTTGTAAAGTGTTGTGTGGGTCATAATGGTTACGGTGCATGTGAGAAATGTACAGTTGTTGGAGAATATATCGATGACCGTATGACTTTTTTGGATCTTGATGCCCCACTACGCACAGATGAATCTTTTAGAAATCAAGATGATAAACTACATCATACCGGAGTGACCATTTTACTTAGAATCGCAAATATGGTATCACAATTCAGACTTGATTCTTTTCATTTGGTATGGCATGGTGGCTTTAGACGATTACTTTCCGCTTGGATGGAATGGAATGGACCCTGGAAGCTTTCACGAAATGACAAAACCAGAGCCTCTAATTTGCTTATATTTCTCGCTGCTTTTTGTCCAAGTGATTTTAATCGACCACCCAGAGCATTGGATTATTGGAAAATGTATGAAGGCACAGAGGAGCGACGTTTATATCTCTATGATGGACTTCTTGTGTTTAAAAATATTCTGCAAGAAGACGTGTACAAACATTACCTGCTTTTTCAAGCTGCTATGTACATTTTATGTAGTCCTGTGCTAGTTAATGTGATGTGTGATTATGCACATGAATTGCTGTTAATATTTATCCGGCACTCTGCAGTTTTATATGGCAATAAATTTGTCGTATATAATATCCATTCTTTATGTCACTTGTCACAGGAGTGCAAAGATCACGGTTCGCTAGATAATTTTAGCGCATTTGTGTTTGAAAATTTTTTGAAGTCCTTGAAAAGTTGTTTGAAATCATGTTACAAACCTCTGCATCAAGTTGCTTATCGTGAGTTGGAGCGAACAAGAAAAATACCAGTTAAATTGTCAGGTGGAAGGAAAACTCTGTCTCTCTCGCAGATGTACATAAATGCAGATGAACAAATCAATGGTTCCCATTTTCGTTGTTTGTCCATTGGCAATGTAAAATTGAAAATTGGTCATAAAGATTCATGTTTTAGAACATCTGAAGGAAATATTTATGTTCTTATTAACATTGTCAGAAGAGGCAACTCGGTGCTTATAATTGGCAATAAATTTCATCAGGTGGAAGATTATTACACTTATCCACTTGCTTCTTCAATATTGGGTATATTAAAAGTTTCAAATTTGGACGATGTAAGACACGTCATTCCTGTAGAAAATATAGAAAGCAAATGCTGGTTAATGCCTGATGGTCTGCAGTTTTTTCTATGTATTTCGTTGTTGCATACTATCCCATTATTGTAATTATCCAATTATCTGATATTCCACTTACGGTACGGTCCAAAAACAAACTTGTTATATGTGTATGCTTTGTCATGAATAATGTCTTAAGTTTTTTATTACTAAGTAACTTTTATTTATTTTACATTTTACTCTGATTTATATTGCAGTTTATTGTAGTGAAATTGTTACCAACTCCGGATGATGATAATATTTATTATGAGGTTGCGGTGGCAAAATGGCTTGTAGAGATTGATGAAAAGATGATGGGGAAACTTCTTTGGCCAAATAATAATGCAGCAGTAAGCAAGTTAGTGCGTGTTGAGGCAAGAGCCGACGAAACTTGGCAACGATTCAATGTAGAAGTTCAAAGATATTATGGTATGAATCTTTAGAATATTTTATTTTTAATTAATCTCTTGTAAATGATACTCGGGCACGCCAAGTGCTTTTAAACCTTGACTTGTTCAAAATGTCTTACTCGGATATTGAGCTTGTGATTATTATGAATGAAATCAATAAGTATAAGAAGAAGTTTAATGACATAGTTGCAAAGTGCTTTTAAGAGATATTATTTATCTATTGATAAATATATACACAGAAATATTACGTAAAAACGCAAAATCCTTTTGCTCTTTATTGGACATGACATTTTAAACAATATCAAAATACAGCAACAAATGAATTAAATATTCATAATTTACATTTCATTATTATTTCTTGTACATTTCTAACTTTTTCTATAACAACGCAGCAACGTACATTGCTGCCAGAAATGCCGCAAAAGGCTTTGAAAAGTTTGCATCTGCCTACGAAAGTGATTCAGGTTGTCAGATGGGCAGGGGGAAGAGAAAGAAGCACATTAACAGATTTTCATCTAGCGATGATTCATCTGACTCTGATATTAAAACATGTAAGCAGAGTAAATCAGGATCAAAGATACCAGCTACTCCTCTTCCGCCACCACTTCCTTTTCCATCTTCTCTGACGAAGTCTTTCAATGTTGCCTCAAAAGAGAATATTCCTACGCTGACAGTTGTTTCTAACAAGAAACAAGGCAAGACAGCTACTGCTTCTCATCCAGTATCAGTTACAGCCACTAGTAACCAACATAAGTTACTGCACAAAATTATAAATCTGAGACAGCAAGCAGCTGATAAGGCACAGCAACGGAAAAAAGCAATGTCTTTAGAAAATATACGTAAGCTGGCTGTGAGAAAAAAGACAGTTGATAGCATATTGCGCTCTGAATTACCAATGAAGGCTTTTGAAACAGATGGGAGTTACAAATTAAAGCCACAATCGTCAATCAATTCGTCATCGTCATCACATATTAGTGAAATGTCAACTGAGATTCGTTCTCATTCGCCTCGGTCTCTCTATCGGTCTCCATCACATGAAACTCTGAACCCGTGTCTATCTACTCCTTCCACAAGTGATTATACACACCAGATCCAACCAAGAGAGTTTGAATTTGTTGAAATTTGCAGAAGTGAAACAGACGCTGAATCTGATGAACTGTCATTGGCTCCATCACAGCCTGCATTGACATCAAAATTACAGCCTGCCTTGACATCAAAAGTGACTACAGGTATTATTATTTTTAATAACTACTACTACTACTAATTTTTAAGAACTATTTATTTCCGTATTACCTCAAACATTAATCTGAAACTTTCATAAAAATGTACTTTATTTTTATCAGTTTTTTTTTGTTAATTATTTAGTAGTGATTTAATTATTATGTACAGATCTTGATAAATTTCTGATAAAATTGGACCAAAAGGTAGACAACATGAGAGCGAAACTTGACATGATACTTATAAATCAATCTAAATTGAACAGAATTTTACTGCCAGAAGAAAAAATTTTGTCTAAATCTCTAAACATGCCTGCACTTCCTTTAGATACTATGGAACAAGTCAAAATGTTTGAAAAATTTCTCTCAAATGACGTAAACCTTTCAGACACAGTGAGTGATGTTTTATATGCTTTTGTGGGAGATGGTTCAATTCAATAAAGTCATCTTTGATAACTTTAATTTTGATTTTGGCCTTTATATATCTGTTTTTATATCAAAATTCTTCTTTTGTTTTAGTGTTATTATTTAAAGTCTTTCCCTTTGAGAAATGATGAAGCTCGAGCGGTGCCTAAACTAATGTCAAATCTGATGAGTAACTCTCTTGCACACGAATTTAACTTTGATGGCCATGGAACCAAATTGGCTTTCAAATCTACAAAGTTATGGGAATTGGTTCAAGGTTAGTGAGTGAGTGAGTGAGTGAGTGAGTGAGTGAGAAAGAGAGAGAAAGAGAAAGTCATGTAGCTGAATATTTTTTCTCTGCCATTTATGTTTCTGTTTATAGAGGATTTGTTTTCATTAAGTTAACTTTTTTACTTTTTAATCTTATATCTGCTGTTAATTTCTGTTCTTTTTATGAGTGTTGTTTTTTGAATCGTATGTTTATTAATTTTTCAGGTACATTGTTGTTAAAATTTGAAGAAAGTGATTTAAGCGAAGCATTAAAATCTCTCAGGTCATGGTTGCGAAATGCCAAAGGAAGAAAGTGTTAAGTAAGATAAAGACTAACTAATATGTTAAATAAGTTTACATTGAGATACTAAAGTTTAAAGAGACTACACAATTGCAATTACTTATTATGCACATTATTATTAACATTTGTGCTTTTATAGATAATTAAATTTGATTAAATTTTTGTTCCAGTGTGTAATTCGTGTTCCACCACGATTGCGGTGGTTGCTCGATATCGTGGGTTCAGATTATCTGCGACAGAAGATACATCGAAAAAATCATTCGAATTGAAACAAAAGATACATTGCGCACATATAAATTTGATAAATAGAAGATAAGATAAAAGATAGTTATCAAAGACAAAAAGAAAATTAAGAAAAATTATTTAAAGAAAAGGTCTGCACAAAACTGCTTTGCATAATAATTTAAAGAATATGAACATAACAAACATAACGTTCTAAAATGTTTAGAATTGTGACAATATATAATATTATTAAAAAAAGAATTTAACTTTTGTGTTTTCTATTAACCTTTCTTTTTCTTATTATTACTTATGGTAAGTTTGGAAAAAAATTAATATACTTGGAGATAACTTGTTATGTTTGTAATATTTATAATACTTATTTTCTCTTCAGTGAATAAATATAAGCATATACACATATAATTCAAATATGTGATTATATCGAAATATATGTGTTTAATATTGTATATTGTACGTCTAACTTTTTTTCTGTAAAATTTGACAACAAATAAGACAGATTACCTTAGTTGTTAATCTGAAATTAATGTTCTTTGTAAA